CACAGACATGAGTGTACTAAGAACATTTCTTACTGCACTGGAAACAGTCAAACTTGAGAGCATCGGCTGTGCTCTGGCCCTGTTCAGTACCATATTCATCAGTGGTAAGCAGTTTCCCACTGGACACTCCTGCCCTGGCCCTGGTGAGAAGGCAGGGTCTTGATCATGTCAAATGGCCAGAACAGCAAACTGAAGGGTGCAGGCTCCAACCTCCTCTACCAGAGACGGGGTAACTACTCCCAGCTGGCTTTCACTGAGCTGATCTTCTCTATAGTACTTCCTGCTGAGAGCAATTAGGTTTCTTCTATAATATTAATTCCTTGTATTTAGATTGAGCCTTTTCTCTAAGGACCAAAAAGTTGCTCTCAGACACTGGCTCCTCAGTTCTTCTTAACACAATTGTCTAATGGAGGAGGAGCTAATCATTCCCAATATAAAGACCAAACTACCAAGGCCCACCACTTACCCTTCCTTCCCAACCAAACATCAATGCCCAGATTGTATCCATTAAACAGAAGAGCGTCAGATTAAGGTCACCTGACTCCTTGTCCTCCCTCCACTGGGCTGAGGTCCAAGGAGAGATGAACTCTACATACAGATGTCCTCTCCCCATGCTCAGAAGCGTCATGAACCTGGCATCGGTCATGTTTGCTTCTTCACTGCCCAGCCTCATGGTGCAGTGTAACTAGAGAAAAGGCATTGGGTCACTTCCTCCTTCCTTCCAAGCAGCGTGAAACTAGTGGAAGTAGCCTCCGCATGGTGAAGTACCTGCCAAACGAAACATCAGTGAGTTAGGCTCTACTCTGATTTCAGTGGCCCTTCTTCCAGATGTGCTCTGCGTCACCTACAGCATTCAGGCACTGCAAATTCCGTTGCAGAAGGTGTTAGCTTCCAGTACCCACTTGATTAACCTCTGTCAGCTGCATCTGCCTCACCTCCATATAGTGCTCGTCATACAGTATGTACTTATTAATAAAGTCACCTTGAAAATAAAAAGAAATCGTTGGAGTTATCTTCTGCAGTTAGGGTCTGCCTTCTTGTCTTGATCTGCCTCTGGAATGGTATTTTTTCTTTTCTCTTTTACACTGTTTGTTTGTTTGTTTGTTTGTTGAGACAGGGCCTTACTGAGTAGCTAGGCTGGCCTTGAACTCAGAACCCTCCTGCTGCCCCAGTACTTGCATTACTGGGATGAGCTGCCATACTGATTTTTTTTTTTTTCTGATATATTAACTCTTACCTATTTAAAGTATTCATCACACAGATCCAACCCACTAAAAACTAATAGGTCAGCGGCTGTTAATATTAATCACCAAGAAATACATTTTAAGAGAACCAAATGATTCAAACTGCTGACTAGACTTTCTCTGGACAAAACCATTCTTACAAGATTTCTGGCTTGCTCTGTGAAGCCATAGAAATAAAGATAGCAACCTGGTATGCGGTGTGTGGGTCCTCAGCGGACTAGCACCCAGCTTAGCTTCTCTAGCTCTGTGGCTTCGCCTTTACCCTTGGAATTAGTGCCTGTACTGATGGAGTAATATTCTCTCAGCAGGGCATCTGCTCCTATGTTTCCCAGCTTGTATTTTTCTTCTCTGATTTCTTCTCTGTTTGCTGAGACTCCTGTAATACAGTCTGTGCCCTACCTCCCAGTTGCCCCCAGTGAGTGTATCAAAGTTCGAGGGCAAAATGCATTTGCATTTTGCTACCAGGAGGCTGTGCTATGAACAATAGAGTCGAGACATCAGCATGAGCCAGGATGAAATTTTATTTTAAAATCTGAAATGCTGTGTAAGCTTTTAAGGTATGAATCAGTAATCGTTTCCCAACAGCTCCCATTAGCCATGCTTTATTTGTAGTCCATCCTCTTTCCAGGGACCAGCGGGTGTTAGCGTACTGCACATCATTTGCATTTTAAGCCAGTATTCAAGGAAAGTGACCACAACTTTGGAAAGTTCATAGCACTAGCGTGGACTTTATGCCCGTGATCCTTGACGAAACACAGTTTAAATTTTTCCCTGGAAGAAAAGTCACCTTCCCAGTGTGGTGAAGACCTGAATACTTCTGAACCAGAGAAATAAGGAAGGCAGGAGAAAGGGGGAGTGTGTGTGTTTCTAAGACTGAGAACATTCTTTACCCCTGCTGGATTCAGTAAAATGCAGACTTCAAAAATCATCCATCTAATTTGAGATTCAAGATCGTCAAATTCTGTCTAAATATTTTGTTTTAACTTCTAAGCTCATTATGGCCCCTTTGTGTTAACGTGTATTAAAATCTGTCAGCTATGACTGGTCTCATAAGCACAGCCAGCGGAGCAGAATAAGTTAATTATTTACTCGTGTCACTAGTGCTCTTCATCTAATGAAATGCACAGCTGTGTTGGATCTGCAGTTGGATGTGTAGCTCCCATTGTTCTGCAAGTCAGCAGAGGGTAGAAGCCGCAGTGATGGAGAGCCCTAGCCTCTCTCTGCTGTTCTGGCTTTCTGCGTCGATTTCATGGGTCTTTTATCATTCACTTTCACACAAAACAAACAACACAGGCTGTCTGCTATGGGAACCGTCTTGGCATATAAAAGGGTTCCAGGGACTCGAGTAATTTTAAGTTAGCGAAGATTTAATTTTTGGTTTACAGGTGCCCTTGGTTCAGAGACAGCCAGAGCAGTTCTGTTACAGGATAGAGTAAAAAAAGCTGCTTGTGTGTGCTTTCTTCCCCAAGTGTCAGGCAAAGGCAGACAAGGAGAGAGCATCCCAAAAGGAAGCTTTGCAGTGAGGTTCACCCAGCTTGGGGGAAGGTACTACATTCTGATTTTAGGAATGGGCATTTCATCTTACAGCATAATGAGGTTGAATTGACTCAATTAAACACGTCAACTACAACCAAAGACAAAGTGCAAGTTTTCTTCATTCCTATCCTCCTCGAGTGCCAGCCTGCCTGCCTGTCACACTGCTCTCTCAGTCTGTTCTGGATCGCCTGTCCCTCCCTCTCACCTTCTCCTGGTGCTTTGGGGGGGGTAGACGGCAGGTTTCCCAAGCTGCCCCCAGCATTCCTGAGTTCTGGCCGAAAGGATACGCATGTTTCCTTTGGCTTTGTGTTTAGGGTATCACCAGACTTTCTGACCCTCACCAGCCATCACAGGCCCTGCCCCATATAGGAGTGGCCATGCTCAACACTTCGCTCATTTCTGCACAGTGATATTATCAGGGTGCCTAGACTTACAACTTGATGTCTTTCAAAGTAGATTTCCCAGTAGCTCTAGGATTTGTCAGAAATTCCAGTATGGATAAGATATGGTTTTGGAGGAAAGGAGAAGTCACATAAATTCTAGCATGCAGGTGGTACGTCTGAACTACAGCATACCAAATAACTGTTTCTGTCCTTCAATGACATGATAAAACCTTCTCAACCAAAGTAGCTACAAAAGGAGCTATCTCCTCAGAGTCCCACTGCTCAGACCTGAGTGCAGTCTTCTACAGCCACTGGAAAGCAGAGTCAACAGCAGGCTAGATTGGCCGGTGGATTCTTCCCCTCTGTCCTCTGTCCTTCACGAAACAGGGGTCATGAAGGTTTTCTTTTCAAATAGTGTGGCTTGAATTATGTAGAGTACAAACAGGATTGAAAATTATAGTTTTTGTTCAATAGGCGAAGTTCAACATCAGAGAAAGGAGGTGTATTTTATTACTACAATAAGAGCATCTGTTTCCTTATTCTGCACTGTTGGGTACACGTCCTCCAGTTCTTTCTTTCTTTTCCTTTTTTTTTTTTTTTTTTTTTTTTTTTCTGTTTTGAAGTTTTAAAACTTTATGTTCACTGGTATTTTGTCTCCATGTATGTCTGTGTCCAGACAGATATGAGCTGCCATGTGGATGCTGGGAATTGAACCCAGGTCCTCTGGAAGGGCAGCCAGTGCTCTTAACTGCTAAGGCATCTATCTCTCCAGCCCCCAAGTCTTCTAGTTCTTATATAGAGTGTGATTGAGCCCCTAAATTCTGTCCCTACACATCTTCCCATGAAAAACAAATGGGAAGGATTTCAAAGCATAGAACCTGTTAAGGATAAGGAGCACTCAGGGCTTGCCACCTTGAGAGAATGTCAGTGGAGTGCAGAGCAGGCAGACTCTGTGCTCACCTTCATTCTTTGAATTCCATGTCCAAGTCTAGCCTTTTACTCTAAGAGTGATTTGACTCTTACTTTTCTTGTTGGTCTTTACAAGTTCAATCTAAGATCACTTTTCTAATGTGCTGTAAGCTATAGGAATTAAAATTCCTTAAGGTAGGTTAAGCTCGGCCAGGGAAGGCCTGGCAAGGTGGGCCAACTAACCAGCTCTGTAGCCAGCGGGGAGCACCTGTTAGCATTTTAGCCATGCACAAGAATTTCTTTTCTTTGCAATGATGTATTTTTATTTTGTGTGCATTTGGAGTTTTGCCCGTATGTATGGGTGTCGGATCCCCTGGAACTATAGTTGCCCACAGCTGTGAACTGACAAGCAGATGCTGGGAAGAGCAGCCAGTGCTCTTAACCTCAGAGCCATCTCTCCAGCCCCAGCACAAGGATTTCTTGTCACAGGTTTTTAAAGCCATGTTTTTGCCTATCAGTCTTCTTCAGTGGTCAGAGAATTTGGATTCCTGTGGGTTGGGTGCAGAACCCAGCAGATCATAGCCTCTCTGACAAGGAGCAAAAACTGCTGATTGCAAAGCTTCCGGGGTAGGAGCAGGCCTGAGTCTGTGCCTCTGTTTTCACGGCACTCAGGGAAGGTGGGCGAGCAGCCTGACAGCACCATTGTGTGTCTCGCCAGCAGGCCAATGCTTTTCTGCAAGGAGAGTCATCTTTGAACTGCCTGGCTACCAGGGTTGTTGGAAATTGCTTTTGTTACTCTTGATGGAGACAGTTGGGAGGGTTTTGGAACAGTGGGGATAGAGACAGCAGCAGGAAGATCCCAATTAAGTACTGTATTCTTCTCTCTTGCCCATTTGCCTGACATGCTGTAAAAATCTCCTGTCCCCAGGTGTTTGTGGCCTGATCGTCCCCCAGGAAGACATGCCATTCTGTGATTCCGGAATCTGTCCCGACATCATAATGAACCCACATGGCTTCCCATCGAGAATGACGGTCAGTTACCTGCGGGCTTTTCAGAGGTGCTGCTCTGAAGGAAGGAACAGGCAGTTAAGTTTAGTTACAGTGACAGTCCCCCCAACAGATAAATGGACCCCCTGTGCTGGCCACTCAGTCTCCTCCGTGGTCCTCCAGAACCCTGTGTGCTAAGTATGCTCAGGTGTCTCTTCGAGCAGTCACTTCCTGTAATCTGGAGTCTGTCACAGGTCACGTGGCCTTGCCACAGTGCTTAGCTCTGCACTTGAGTTTCCTTATCTGAAAACTAGGGGACACAGTAGGGGACATTAGTCACCTCAGCAAGGTACTAGTGCAGCAAGGTACTAACTAAGGTAGTTAATGCTGCTACTCTTGGTAACTGTAGGATGAGAGGGTCAGGAGAACCCCACGCCACAGGGGCACTCACCAGTTTGTTCCCATCGCACTCCACAGGTCGGAAAGTTAATTGAGCTGCTGGCCGGCAAGGCAGGTGTGTTAGACGGCAGGTTCCACTACGGCACTGCCTTTGGAGGGAGTAAAGTAAAGGACGTGTGTGAAGACCTCGTTCGCCATGGTTATAACTACCTGGGGAAGGACTACGTCACCTCGGGCATCACAGGGTGAGTGTGCTGGTTGAGAAAGCTGATCTTCAAGGTGTGACGTCCAAGGCTTCCTTGGTCAGAAGGAGCGAAGCTTCACTCTTTTAGCAAACTTGATACAAGAAAAACCACATTTAAGAAATGGGTCATTGTGCTGGGTGTGATGGTGCACACTAACCCCAGCATTTGGGAGGAGGGGCAAACGAATCTCTAAGTTTGAAGCCAATGTGGTCAACAAAGCTAGTTCCAGGACAGCCAGGGCCACACAGAGAAACCATGTCTCAGAAAAACTGGAAGGAAGGAAGGAGGGAAGGTACAAGGAAAGCATACTTACTGAATAAATCCCAGTTCATGCCCCCCCCCTCCCCAAGCTGGTAGTCCATAAGGAGGTAGCTGTCCAGCTGAGGTGAGGCTGAGCAAGACAGAGTGAAGGGTCTGCCTGTCATATTTAACAGGCATAAGTCCATGCAATTGTGAATGGCGAGGTCTTAAAAATCACATCACGTTGTATGCATGATCAAACCAACCGCTTCCATACCCTGTGGCAGTTAAAACACTGGCTGCTGCTCCACAGGACCCCCATTTGGGATCCAACACCTTCAGGCCTCCAAGGGCTTCTAAAGCATGGCACATGCACTCATGCAGGTACACACACAGTGAATGAGTGAATATATTAAGGCCTCGGGGTCTGCCCTTGGATTGTCAGCCACTTGAACACAGGTGCAGCTCAGCTGAGGCACAGGTGAGGGCTGCTGCTTTACTGCAATGCATCCAAGATTGCTTCACAAGTGTTGGAAATGCCCCACATCCGTTTCTGCTGAAAATACAGAGTGCTTGTTAAAATGACTTGTCCAGATGGTAACAGTACTGATTTTTTTAGGTAAACCATTCTTGAAGTGTTTTAAAAAAAAAAAAAAGTGGTCATTGCCAAACCAATTGACTTTATTTCTACTCAGGAAAATTCCTGTCCAGAGATTGTGCAAAACCATAGGACCCACTCAGTGCAGCTTCCTAAATATAAAAAAATCAAAGAGTAGAGTAAGGTACACCCTGTATGCTGGGGCCAGCTATGGTCTACATTAACAACATGCTTTGCTCAAAGTGAACTTGTTTTTCAGATAGGCCTTGTGACAGGCAGAGAGAGCAGCAGGTTTGATCCTGGCCACACCACTCTCTAGTGCTTACCTATCCTACTCAGGCTCACTGGCTATTTCTACATCTTCAACAATAGAGGCACAGTGCTCCTGGCCTGGCATGCTGATGATTAAACAGCACTGGAGAAGCTTCCTTCCCTATGAGGAGGTTAAAAGATTTTTGAAGACATCCATTCCCTAGCTATTTGCCTCAAGCAAGACTTTTTTTTTCTATTAGAATATTTACATATTCACTTACTTTGAGAGTCTTACTATAGTTATTCATTAGTGAAATAAGTTATGTAGCAAACTATATTGAGCACTATATGTATACCAGGCAGGATGATTGCTGCACAATGGTGCTGAGTGCACTCAAGTGAGGGAAGTGGTGGTGGAGAGCAAAGGAGAAGGGCTCCTCTAAGAAGGGTCACACCTGTAGCCCTAGCACGTAGGAGGGTAGGCCTAAAGATTTCGAATTTGACACCAACCTGGGCTATATATAGCAAGTTCCAGGCCAGCTTTAGAGATATGGTAAGACCTTTCCTCAAAACAAAATTCATCTAAGGAATGCACTGTTGACAGGCCCGAGCATATACCTGGCAAAAGATCACTGTCCGCACACGTCTGAGGGCAGCAGTCCTGAGTCAGAAGTTCCAGAATGTTTGGCATGATCGCCATGTACAATTTTTGGCAACATGGAGTATCAGGAAAAAAAAAAAAAAAAAAACATTGGGGATTTTAGAGCAGAATGGTTTCCAGTTTAGGAGGAATCTCCCTGGATCGTTAGGGTAGACCAGTTGTCTAGAGATGAGAGTAGAAGCAAGATCATCCAGAAGATAACACACTGAGAAAGGATGTCCTGACGAAACGGGGGGCAGTGAAGAGGGTCACCCTGTTGACAGCTTATGTCTTGTGAGAGCAATGTCTGCTCACATGGTGGCAGTGCTTCTGTGGTTTTGGTGTAGCCTTTTCATTGACTGTAGACTGAAGACTGTCCTCACACAGTCGTCGTAAGTGTCTGAGGAAACATTAAGGACCTACTGCTTCTGAGACCTGAGAAGGCTGTATGTCAAGTCATCCAAACTCTGTTTCTTAAATCCAGTGTTGACTCTCCTTTCAGTGAGCCCTTAGAAGCATACATCTATTTTGGACCTGTGTACTATCAGAAACTGAAACACATGGTACTGGATAAAATGCACGCCCGGGCCCGAGGACCACGAGCTGTTCTTACCAGGTAAGAGGCGCCCTTGGGGGAGAGAAGCTGATGCTGCAGTCAGAGCATTATGTACGTGGTATCTCTGGAGATAAATAGTCCCGGAAAAAAATTTGTTTTCCTCAACGTATCAAAATGTGGGTGTGTTAGATATTGTCTTAGTACTTTCTGTTGATAAAAACAATATGACAAAAGCAAGTTGGGGAGGAAAGAATTCTTATGACTCTTAGCTAGTACTCAAAGCCAAGACATGAATTCAGTCAGGGCCGGAACTGAAGCAGAAGCCACAGAACTGCTTACTGTCTTGCTATTTACTCATGGCTTGCTCAGCCTGCTTTCTTATGCCATCCCGGGTTACCTACCTAGGAGTGGCACCATCCACAGTAATCACCCATTAATCCAGAAAATAAGCTTGCTTACAGGCCTTAAGGAGCATTTTCTCTATTGAGGTTCGTTCCTCTCAGAAACAAAACTAGTCAGCACAATTGATCCCTTGTGAACTCAACACAGCACTATTCAAGTGTTTCCTTTCTCATTTGTCCCCAGGATGGCGTATTAATATTACTATCACAATAAAAACATTCCATGGTCTTTAAAAATTAAGAATTCCTGTAAAATTTGTAAGCTCCTATAAATCCTAAAAAACCAGGTAAATGCTTTCTTACTCCAAGAGGGAGGGATCAGCTTAGCCACAGTCCTATGAGCCATAGTCCTATCAGCTCAGAGAATATTGTCAGTGTTGTGGAGAATGGGGAGTTCATTGGGGAGGGAGTTAGAACTTCAGTCAGCCTTCTATAGCTGCAGGTCTGTTTTCATAAGTTCACAGTGCAGAGAAACGATATTGGGAAAAATGAAGTTGCTTCACGGGCCAATGAGATAGCTCCATTGGTAAAGGTGCCTCCAGATCATATCTCTCCTGTAAGCCCTTGTGTGCATGATAGTACCTACCTACCTACCGCACAGAGTGCTAGTGAACGTGGACCAAATGCCAGGCGCATGACAGATGTCTTTTTTAAAGCCAAACTTAATCTTAGCCATAACTTGAGCAGATGCGACACCTGTTGAAATCATAGATGTGTGTGTGTATGTGCTTCAGAATGCTGAAAAGGGTGGTTAAGAGAACTTGTTCCTCTTGCAGAGGACCTGGGTTCAATTCCCAGTCCTCACATGGTAGCTCACAACCATCCCTAACTCCAGTTTCTGGGGGGGGGGGTCCCATACCTCTTTTGATCCCCGAAAGCACCAGGCACACATGTGGTGCACATACATGTAGCCAAAACACTCATACGTAAACTAGAATAACCTTTTTTAATGTTTTTAAAGAAAAAAAGAGAAGAAGAGGTAAGATTTCAGAGATAGTTATTGTCTAGGCAGTGAGACCCCGTGGGCCAAGTGTTGTCTCCTTCTGAGTCAGTTATAATGCCGCTTTTCTACATGGGGGTTGTCTGGGAACAGTTAGCTATAGTCATTCATCTCAGCAGATGAAATGCAAGCATGGAGTCCACCCACGTGTAGATAAGCGCCTTCACCAGCGTCCTCAGGAGGGAGTGCCTGTCGTGGTGTGTCTACCAGCAGCTAACCATGCCAAGGTCGTGCTCATGGTGAAGTTTCCTCTAGAAAGTGCCCTTCAGTTCACTTTTCATTTGTAGCTTTTTCTTCAAACACTCCACCCTTCATTTGATTTCTCCTGCTAACGTCGAGCTGTAACAACAAAACAAAAGCCGTGTGAACATTTCCGCGTATGTTGGGAGGCACCTTGTTCACTGTGTCATGGGGGGTCCACTCGAGGAAGTAGCAGGCTGCAGGGCCTGTTCTAGTTTGCTTTGTGCTGTTGCGATACAGCACTGGCTAGAACCAACGTGGGGAGGGAAGGTTTATTTGGCTCACAGGTTACAGTGATTCCCCCAGGGGAGCCAAGGCAGGAACCGCAGAGACCACAGAGAAATAAATGCTGCTTCCTGGCTGCTGAGCTACCTTCCATGGACAGTCCAAGGCCCACCTGCCCAGGATGGCTCTGTCCACGGCAGGCTGGGCTCTCCCACACCAGTCAACAGTTTTGAAATAAAAATGGTCCACAGACATGCCCACAGGCCAGTCTGATGGAGTTCTTCATTTGACAGTCCCTGTTCCCCGGGTCGGTCTAGGACCCCAATTTCTTCCCTGAGAACTGAGATGTCTCTGAAAATACTCAGGCATAATACCAGTGACCAGATGTGAGAGTAATGACTGCTAACACTAGTATCGAGGGGGTTAATAAACAGTATTTTGTTATATTGTCTGATAAGGACTATATAATTATGATTTTGTTTTCCCACAGTGATAGCCACTAGCTTGCTCTTTTGACACTCTTGGGAGTTTAGTGTGTTTCTGCCGTGGGAGTGCCTTGCTTTGGTCAGCTGAGGGGCCGCTGCTCTTTCCCATGTCTAATGCATGTATGCATGTATGCTCCTCTGCTACAAAGGCAGCCCACTGAAGGGCGATCTCGTGATGGCGGCTTGCGTCTTGGAGAAATGGAAAGAGACTGTTTAATCGGCTATGGAGCGAGCATGCTTTTGCTGGAGAGACTAATGATCTCGAGTGACGCCTTTGAGGTTGATGTCTGCGGGCAGTGTGGACTCCTGGGATATTCCGGCTGGTAAGTAGATAGATGCTGCATCTCTCCGACCACCTACCCTGCAGCCTTTACCTGTGATCTCATGTGTGCTCACACTTGTCCATACGTCCCCCGAGTAAGTGTTTGTATGTTGTATTTAATGCTGTATTTATACCACTGCAGTTTAGGCTCCTAAGAAAAACAGACGTTATCCTAATTTTAATGTCATCACAGGGGCAGGAGAGGTGGCTCGGCACTTGTTGCTCCAGGACCTGGGTTCAGCTCCTAGCACTCACATGGTAGCTTACAACCACCCATAACAAGAATTGCAGCTTTAAAAAGAAAAATCAAAACCTCCTTAGTGGAAGTTGTATCAAGATCCCTTATTGGTAATCTCAGACCCCCAAAGCAAAATTACCCCATATCTTACAAACAGTGGCAAACCTAGGACAAAGACCTGGTGTGTATAAAGTGCCCTTTACCCATGGCAGGTACACGTTTGGTGTACAGACAGTATCTGTCTCGGTTGCTCACCCAGCATGCATTCAGTTTCTGCTGTGTCAGATGCAATTCTAAGTCTAGAAGTACTGTAATGCAGGAGACATGCCCGCTGTTCCCTGCATTCTGTCTCATTGATGAACTCTCCAGTTTGCACCTCATAGGTGCTTAATGAAAAATGTAACTGCTAAGTGGTCTCTTCCATTATAGAATTGCCAATAAGTTCATTATGTACTTTTGAAGTTTTTAATTTCCATGTACAGTCTGGTGTCTAAATGACATCTTAGTGGGTGATGCTCCCTGGGCTGTTTGTGTTGTGTAGTTGTAGAACCTTTCTTGTTTGTGATCATGCCACTGCTACCAGGGACCAAAAGGATCTGCTTAGGGTATCAGGATCTGAAGCCCTGCAGTACCCGTGTAGCAGACAGAGCCTGTGGTCCCTCTGATCTGTCAGAGGCAAAGTCTCACAGTTTCTAAGATAGACATTCCATGGATGGAGATAGCCATGATACCCTGCTCCCTTCATCCGCCCTACTCAGAACCCCTCTCTCCGGTGGGAAATCACCTGAGAGAACAGTGTGAAGCTAGGTGAGTAGTCGTTGCCAGGGTTTAAGGAACACATGGCCACCTTTTCCTCATAGACTTTCCCCAAAGCCTGTATCGGCTGCCACTTCATGGTTAGATCAAGCAGGCCAGGACTCAGCATAGAATGGGCCTGCAAGATGCTTAGAAAGTAAAGGTGCAACTGGGCAGTGGTGGCACATGCCTTTAATCCCAACACTCTCGGGAGGCAGAGGCAGGTGGATCTCTGTGAGTTCAAGACCAGCCTTGTCTACAAATCGAGTTCTAGGACAGCCAACACTGTTACACAGAGAAATCCTGTCTCAAAAAGACAATAAAAGTAAAGATGTACACCAGCCTGATGACTTGAGTTCCATCCCCAGGACCACATGGGAAAAGGAAAGAATGGAATCTCACCAAGTGTCCTCTGACCTCCAGATGTGCAATGTGGCACTCGTGTGCCTGCAGAACTACACCGCCACACACAGTCATACACATGGATGGATGCATGGATGGATGGATGGATGGATGGGTGGGTGGGTGGGTGGGTGGTTGTATGGAATCATGGATGGATGGATGGGTGGATGGATGACTTAGAGAACACTTGCTAGCTCAGTGATAAACCTTTTAGCAAATTAGTTTATGATTGCAGTGTAGATGAATTAATGAATCCTGTTTATGAAGAAATCATTAATTTGGATACTAATGGAAGAAGTAGCCATTTTTCAGTTCATTCTTTCTGAGGTTATAGAGATGTTGCTGCTCTTGAGAGCAGCCTAGCCCCTTTGTCTGTCAATTAGGTGCAGTTTGGTCGGTTCTGAGCTGTCCGTTTGTGTATTGAAATGCATATGGAGCACATTGTGGGCTGTATAACTAAAGGAGAGAGACAGAGAGAGCAATAGCATCATCATAGGATGGGCCTGGGGTCTAGTTCCATACTTAAACCTTCCAATCTGGCACAGAGTTCTCATCTCTTCTTTCTTGTGTTTCTGTCCTCCGGTGAAAGGAAAAGGAAATAGTAAAGTGGGCTCCCCAGGCCCAAGCCTTTGTCTCCTGGCTTGGTGCGTGGGGACGCCTGACACAAGGCTGGCTGCACAAACTATGTCAGTTGAACCTCTGCCTCCTCTGCTGCCTTGCTTCTGTCTAGTGTCCAGCTCACCTGATTGCAACCCTGGATGAGGGTTTAGTGTGCCATCCCTTGAAAGGACCTGATCAGGCTATGTGGTCGCATCAGTCTTTATCTGGAGCTACATAGACCTTAAGACACCATGTGTCTGATTTGAGTGCCCTACTTATTTATACTCTGTGGCCAGCAGGAAAAATCCTAACCCATTCTGTAGTCTGGCTGCCTCTTCATGTGCTTCTCCCTGGCTGAGCAGCATAACAAAGCTGTCATTTTTTCTATCATTATCTTGTCTTGTATGCCCAGCTGCTGGGAGGGACCAAGCACAGCCAGTTGGAGGAACGTGCCCTTTAATAATAAGCCACACAATGGAAGCTGAGTAATTAGCGGGGTCCAGTATCTTGGAGTAGGACCCCATGGGTGACTTGCACGTTGATAAGGCATTGCTATGGGGAGGGTTACAGCAAGACTCTCGTTTCTCAGAGGACCCAGGACAGAAGCCACCAAAGAGCCCCATTAAGGTAATTAGCTCATGGAAGATGCTACAATGGACATGTTCCTCGTGTGCAGCCACAGCTCCCTCTTGCTGCCTTCATCCTAGGGATCAGTTTACTGTATAGTTCTTGGTCAGGTATCTATCCATGCAAGTTATTCAGCCGTAGAGTAAATTAGCTTACATAATGTATATGTGTGTGTGTGTGTGTACACATATGTGTATGTGTGTAACATACATATATAAAAACGTTGGAATGTTTTGAATGAATATATTATTGGTTATCCAGACTAAGAATCAGCACATATGGAAATTTTAACTAGATTAACTGAAATTGGAGTTATAATACATAGGACAGGAAAACCAGGAGAAGTCACTCCAGTTCAGTCTGTTTCCTCAGTCTAATTAAAGTGGTATGAGTATGATTCTTGAATATTAGACCCACCCATGAACATTAAATGCATGCTTGATTCTAATGCTTGAAAGACATCTTTGGGCGGCCTTTTAAGACATTTTTTTATCGCTGAAGTTTTTATCATCTTTGATAAAGGCTTCTTTTCCATCAGACTTTACGTGCCTTGGTGGTAGGACTGGGATTTTTGGGGAGTGTGTTTCAGAGAACAGTGTGGTACCGAGATGCCCCCAGACACTATGTGATTGGTGGAGGTAGCTGAAAACTTCCAACAGTGAGACATCTGACACAGTTTCTGATGGTTCCGGTTTCTGGGATTCTTTCAAAACGGTGTTAAGCAAATGTTTTCCCTTTTGAAGAGAAAGTTTTAGAAATATAGTTAACAGGCTAAAGCTGCAAACTCTTAAGCTACAGGGAATGGTTTGTCCAGAGATGTCCCTCTAACTTTCTGAGTCATCGGTGCGTGTGTGACAGTGGCAGGCAGCTGGGGGGGGGGGGGCGGAGCAGCCATGCGTGGGCGGGCCTTTGTTGCTAACCCTCTGACCAACGCGGCGGCCTTGGGTTTCAGGTGCCACTACTGCAAATCGTCATGCCACGTGTCTTCCCTCCGCATCCCGTATGCCTGCAAGCTGCTCTTCCAGGAGCTGCAGTCCATGAACATCATCCCCAGGTTGAAACTGGCCAAGTACAACGAGTAAGGCTGGGCAGCACCGCAGGCCGGCACCCTGCGCAGCACGCAGCTGAGGGCTCACGAGAGACTGAGAGGAGAAGTTGCGAAAGGCTGGCTGGACAACCTTGATCAGGAGCCTCGAGCCACCAGAGAGCTGGCCCCCACACACTAGAGCATCATGCTGAGTCACGGGACACACAAGCTAAAGTGATGATGGATTCACTCCCACTAGTTTTCTTTTACTTTGAGTTAGAATCTCACTTGGTAGCCCAAGCTGGATTTGAACTCATCTCAGTCCTCCTGCCTCCTTCTTTCACAAGTGCAGGATTTACGGGTGCGAGTTTATTTATGTTATTATATTTTAAAATGTACTGAATAGAAAACCCTTCCTTCTTAAAACTCCCCATGGCATCTTCTGGTTAACAGAGCTCTGGTTCCTTATCAGACGTGGGGGGACATAAAGAATCATTTGAACTGGGACTATGGTGTTAGCCCTGTCAGTAAAGTGCCTGTTGCAGAGCACAAGGACCCAAGTTCATCCCCAGCAACCACAGAAGAGTTGGCCATGCACTAGACATGGCATCTAGTACCCACGTACGGGTCTGTTAGTGTGGAGGTAGGGTAGGAGCAGACGGGCAGACCCTGAGCTCACTGAGCAATGGTGTAGCCAGTGACTGCACTTCAGGTTCAGTGAGAGACTCCGTCTCAGGCGGAGAGTGAGGAGGTCCCCCAGTGTCCACTCCTGGCCTCCACACATACAGAGGATGGTTAGATTTGTTGGCAGCAGTTCCATCTCGCTCTCACACACTGAAACTTCAGCCTTGTTGGAAGGTCATCAGCACGGTCTGCCTTGTAAGACTGCCCTTCCTTAAATGCCAGGTTGCACTTACCTAGAACCTCCAAGATACTACCCGGGTACAATACGTGTCCCTCCCATTCCTACCAGAGTGTTAATCGTCCACTCTCCCCGCTGTGGTGCCTTGAAGCCCGGAGAGTCCAAGAAGCAGTGGGTGCTGGACGGTCTAGGCTGTGTTCTCAGTGCCGTACTTGAAATGCTCCTCAGAACACTAATGGTATTGTGCACCGAGAGGATCAAATCTCAGTGTGAAAGAGGCCACTGCTCACCCCCGGTTCATGCAGACACCCAAGAGACCACACTTGTCACTGACTTGTGTTTTCCTCACAGCAAAGATGTGGATGTCGGAACAGCTGCTCAGTGCAGGCCAGGGGAGGCTGTGTGAGTGGGCAGCCTCCTTCCGCGCCTTTCGGAGCCGCATGCTTACTGTGCCGTCAGAGGAGGCGCCACATCTCCCCTGAACGTTGGTCTTTCCTTACTCTGACACACCTTTCTCCATATTGATGTACTGTACTGAGGAGTGTTCCCAGGTGCTGACTTGGACCATCAGAGGTGCTGTTTTTCTAGGGTGATCTTGATCCTCCCGGCTCCATCAAAGTTAAGAACCCTGCAGTGCCCAACCATCTTCTCATTGAACACTCAGGTCCCTTGGAAGGAGTAGGCAGTGTTCTGACACCAGAACACGTCACTCAGCACTCTGTGATGGATGGAGTCATTGTAATGGAGATAGAAGGAGCAGAATATACTTCTTAATAAAAACAGAGTCCAGGAAAGGGGGCCACAGTCTGTGACCAGAGATCAGTTAACCCATCCATCCGTGTTACAGGCACACTGACCACAGTTAACCCATGCGTGTTACAGGCACACTGACCACAGTTAACCCATCCATCCGTGTTACAGGCCACACCTACCACAGTTAACCCATCCATCTGTGTTACAGACACACTGACCACAGTTAATCCATCCGTGTTACAGGCACACTGACCACAGTTAACCCATGCGTGTTACAGGCACACTAACCACAATTAACCCATCCATCCGTGTTACAGGCACACTGACCACAGTTAACCCATCCATCCGTGTTACAGGCACACTGACCACAGTTAACCCATGCGTGTTGCAGGCCACACCATGACCCACACTCAAAAGCGCAAAGCACTTTTTGGGGTGACTATCTCCCTATTACAGCCAAAGAAACTGAGGCAGAGTTGCTAAGGGGCTCCCCAGACCACCTCACCACAAGGGAACAGCAAGAGCTCCAAAACTTCAGGCCTGTTTGGCTTTATCCATGATTCACCACAAGTGGTCTTTTTTAGGGATTCGGATGCTACTGAGTGTTTGTGTCTCCTGCACATGAACAGTTGTGATCATCTGGAGAGTTGTTGCCCGTCTGGTGGAGGAAATTACAGCTCTCCAAGTGTGCACCACTTAGAAGGCTGCATCTAAAGTGAGCTTGCCAGTGAGAGGAAAGCGGTTGGGTCGTTTCAAAACCAGCAGAGAGCACATTGATTAGCTGTTTGTCAGAGAACTTTAATGAAAAGAGACAACAAGGGCTGGAGTGTGGCTTGGTGGTAGATCCCTTGCCTAGCACCCCAGTCCTGTCCTCCAGCACTTACGCCAAAAGGCCACAGTTTGCCTCTTTTAAAAGTTACCCCTTGATTTAAAAGCTACCAATTAGCTCCTAATTTTAGTAAGGGTGGATAATTTCTTCCAGGCCACCCATGGAACACTTTATCCCTGAGGTTTTTAACGGGTTGGGAGTGGCATGGGATGAGGTCAAAGTCTCACCAAGACCTGACCTTCGTGGTTGCTTCAGAAGAGTCAAAAGGGCTGCAGAGACAAATCTCCGGTGTTGCCAAGGTACCAGACTGGACAGGCTGGCATCCTGCACAGGGACAGAGCTTATTGAGTGACTCAGGGTTTTCCACTGTCCCCTGGATCGTTCAGCTCAGGCTGCTGTGTCTGGATGCCACAGGTAGGGTGGCCAGGGTGACGGAGTATCTTCTTAGTTACAAGGGCTCCTGCCAGCCAACCCCTTGAGGGGTCCTCGGTGCACACTGAAAGCTCCACTCCGGCACTGCCTATCAGGGCACTAGGTGGGCTGGGTTAGTGCGCCACTCGTCTGGCATCACCAAAGTTCTTTAAGGGGGCTGCTATTGCTCAAACGGCTCCAGCATAGGGAGTCTGAGTTCTAACCCTGAAGGCATTTGAAACAGTTCATGACAGCACAGGGGAAATGTGGGAAGTAACCTATTCAAACCCATTCACCAAAACAACGGTTCACTCCTAGGTGTGTGTGAGAGAGAGAGAGAGAGGGAGAGACAGAGAGACACAGAGGGAGAGAGACAGAGAGAGAGAGGGAGTGAGACAGAAAGACACAGAGGGAGAGAGACAGACACAGAGAGACAGACAGAGAGGGAGAGAGAGAACATGAGGGAGTAAGTGTGCGTGCATGAGTGTGAGAATGGTGTGCGTAGGGGTGTGTGTGGCTGAGTGTGTATGTGTATGAGGGTAACTGAAAGGGAGTGTGTGAGTGGAGTGGGAGCATGTGTGTATGAGAGGTGTGTGTGTGTGTGTGTGTGTGTGTGTGTGTGTGTGTGATTCCCCAAGTTCAGGGGCTGGAGAGCGAGCTCAGCAGTCAAGATTCCCAGCATCCTCATCAGGAGGTTCACAACAATCTGTAACTCCAGCTCCAAATAATCCAGCGCCCTCTTTTGGCCTCTGGGCACTGCACTAATATGCACATAAACACATGCAAATGATAGGTTTTTTTAAGATACATAATTTTTGCATTGGATTTATGTTATTCTTTAACACTTTTAAATTTTATTTACTTATTTTTGGTGTTTTGAGACAGGGTTTCTCTAGTATTGCTTTAGAGCCTGTCCTGGAACAGCTGTTGCAGACCAGGCTGGACTTGAACTCACAGAGGCCTGCCTCTGCCTCTCGAGTACTGGGATTAAAGGTGTGCACCACCAACACCTAGCCTTTAATACTTTTTTAAAACAGACCTGGTAACTAACCACTTAGGGATACAGGCTCAGCATCATGGCTATGTGATCTCAAATTGTCTTTGTTCCTTGAGTTTTCCCATCTTGAGGATAGAGGGATAACAATACACCTTTTTTAAGATCATATGTGATGGTGTGCCTGGCCCCAAACAGAGGCTGACATATGTCTGCAGTTCTCATTGGGAGCAGGAACCTTTGTATCACATGCCTGGGAAGGACATTCTGTCCCAGAGAACTTCATCAGAGCAAAATCAGGCCCCACAGAGAATATAAGCTCACGGTGTGACTGGTCCCATGGCCCGTGGGTTCATCAGTTCAGACAACCTTGGAAAGACACAGGCAAGGGCCAGCTCCTTTGGAAAGTGGACCAAGTGCAGAAGCTGTAGAATTTCTAGAAACTGTTTGGACAAGCCGCCCTGCTTCACAGCTATGATGAGGAAGGAGAGCGATAGAGAGTCAGAGAACTTGCTTGCTTGGAATCACCATTCACCACTGACATCAAAGTGAAGAGGGTTGTCAGGCTGGGGTCCCGGCAGCCTCAGGAAGCCCCCAGAACACTTCCATGTGGGAGTCAGTGAGCACAGTTTCGAACAAGTCCCTGATTGGGTGCTGCATAATGGGCACCGTTTGACCAACACCTTTATCTGCAGTAATGAGTCACACAAGACTGAAGGGGCGTGTGGCTGGGCCCCTCCACGTGGCCTCAGCCCATTCTGTTGTGAAATGGATGGTCAGGAAAGCAACTGTAAAAATCACACCTCTCCCCTCTGGATTGACTCCATCTGTGTCTTACAAAAACCTGTATTCCATTTGTCCGCTGCAAGTTGGACTTTTACTACACTAGACCAATATGGGTGGGAAATCAAAGTCACGGTTCTCTGAAGAGGAAGTTTTAGGCAGGGTGAGAAGTAGTCATCCAGAAGTATATTGTTTGTTTCCAAAGCCAAGCTACCAGTTCGATTCGACACTCCAGAAGCACTTAACAGGTTGGCTTCAGGAAATCAAATTTGTGACTTGGGATACCATGGTAGAACAATGTGAAACTTGACTTTTCACTTACCAGTCTAAGTTGTGAAGCAAACGTACTCAAGTCTGCAAAACAGCTCCATTCCACGCTCAATAAATTCTTAGTCGGGTTTACTTCCAACCATCCACATTAATGGAGGTGAGGAGGGGTATGAGGAAATTAAGGCAGGTGATGG